TACTGCTCCGAGTGCCGCTGCCTGCGGTTGCTGTGCCACATGTACTGCTGCGGCTTCTGGTGCTGCTACTACTACTACTACTACTACTACTACTACTACTTCTACTGAGACTGATATGGGTTGCTATCTTTTTGGAGTACAGAACCCACATCCAGGCCGTGCTCATCCTTGCTTGGGCCTGCTTGCTCATTGCCAGCTGCGGGGCACTGGAGGCCCTTTGCTCCGTGAGGCACCAGGGGGACGCAACAGTGCTCCCCTTGGGGGCATTTGGAGTCCACATTCGTGCTGTTGGGGGTGGTTTTCCGTGCGAGGATGGAGGTCCTGAGGTCCTGCTCTCATACTAAAGTGCCATGGTTGTGCGTCCTTAAAGCCTGAACAATCCACATGCAGCCTTGTAAGTTGCAGCCCTCAAGCCGAACGCCGTCTTTGAAGGTGTCTGAAGGCAGCAGCTTGGCTTGCGGGACTGGCAGTGGTCCTGGCTAGCCTCGTTGAAGTCGTAGTCCCTGGGGACAGGCACTTCCAAGGCTTCATGTACTGCCTTGCAGTTATCGCGGCTGTGTGCGCCCTTGTTTGGCTTGTGGTGCACTTCTACGATAAATCACATGGTCTTGGCAATGACAGAAATCCCGCATCCGTCTACCGCAGTTTGTCCTATGCCTTCGCAATAGCGAGCTTCATCATGGTCGCAGTAATGGAGCCGGATTGCGGGTATGCCGGGCATCCGGTGTGCTACAAGAACTGCGGGTTTTATGCGGGCTCCCACTTCACATTGTCGCTTATCGGATTTATGCCCTTCTACATGGCCCTGGTGCCACTGCAGTGCTGCACAGCCTTTCCCGTGGCTTTCCCATCCATCCGGTCCTCGGCCGAGCCGAACCCGGATGAGCCCGAGGCCCGAGGCCCGAAATCCGGTTGGTGAGAGAATCCGGCGGATGTGATGCTTTAACAAACATACAAAATCTCCCCGAGCCCAACCAAACGCATGACTCCACATGACGCCTAGTCAGGCTGACTAAGCTGCACTGGAAGCCATTGTCAGAAGCCCTTGCAACCCCAGACTTTGAACCTCTGCTGGACTCGTGGCATGGAACAAGCTTGTCCTTTCACCATATCCCGAACCTGCCGGTTCAGGGTGCAAAGATGCTTTTAATTGACAGAATTCATCAGCTCAGCTGCTGGCGGTTGATGAAAAAGCTTGGGGGAGTGCAGTTGTCATTACTCGGATACTCTTCGTGCTCTCGTGTTTGTAGTTTTTTCTCGTGCTCTTCCTCTAAGCCTTCTATCGCTGCGATCATACAGTCAGAAAAGTATACTTGAGCTTTGAACGAGCAGGTATACCATCGAGTCTTAGCTGTTCCTGTTGTGCTATCGGAACCGTGTTCTGCCAGCGCGTCAATTGTGCCACCGCTGTGTTTGCATGTTGTGTGGGCCGCAATGCCGTAAGATCACATATTGCATCAGGAGGAGACTCGTTCTTGCTAGTACGGATAGCGAAGAAGGGTTACGACGGTTACGAGAGTGCGCTGTAAGCTTGTTGTGGTTACTGCTAGTGTTGTTCTCGTGACGGACCCTTACGCCTTACGGCAGTAGGCAAAGTGCCTGGCATTGAGATGAGAGCAAGCAACCTGGGCAACAGGGCCCTTTGGTTTCGGAGTGCCCCTGACTCTTGCAAGGCTGCGGCACTCAAAGGTTACCGTGTGGGCCGAAGCAGACACTGCATCTCTTTGCCAGGCTCGGATGAGAGACGGGGTTTAGGTTTTCATGAACTCCATCGACGCGATTCGGATTTTCCAAGCGCATGTCAGGTGACAAGGTTTCGGGTCAGTGGCTTAGTATGAAGCCTAGAGGAGGCACTCAAACGCAAAAAAGTCCACTCCTAATACGACTTTTCAACCTCAGAGCATAAGCTGTCAATCCCTGAAGCTCTACCTAGACCCTCCAACCGCCTTCCAATATGGGTAATTGTCTAAACTACGGTAAGTGTTTGCAAGGGTGCCGCCTTTTTGGGGTTCCTAAAACGGATGCTTATTTGGAGAACTACACGACATATCGCCGAATACGCCTGAAGGAAGCCTCAGATCCTGAAAGGACTGCCCTTTGCAATCGTTCCTGATTGATCGCAGGTGGCCAGGGGGTTGAAGCCCGTCCGGGAGCCGCAGGCGTCGCGGGATTTCGCTTGCCGTGCAGTATTGCAGGATGAGTATCTGAATTTCTGAATTGCTGTGGTTGAGCATTGGCTTAGGGTTAAGAGTTTGGGGGTGTCGGGTTGGAGCTTGGGCAAATCTGTACCGTTGAGCGCAAGACCTGTGGCTGCAGTACCCCCATGAAGAGCACCAATAAGGCCCCCCGCTCAAAAAACACATCCTGTTGCCTAAGCTTTGAAGACAAAATTAAAAGAACTAAAAAAACTAGCTCAGTTGCTAAGGCAAAGAGGGGCGAGGGATTTGGCGACTGTGTATACGGCTTCTTGGTAACGTTGGTGAGTGCAGAACTGGGACTTTGGTATGATAACAGTAGCAAGCAGAAAACCCACATCAGGTGCCAGTGTGGTTATTCCGACAAGCAGGCAGACATCTACCTGACTCCTGGCTGGTTTCGGATGACCTAGAGACCTTGGAATTGTTCGGGTTTAGAGCCTCCCGTCCGTCTAGGATCTTGGTTTCATGACCTGAATAATCAGACTATGCTTTGGGGGGGGGGGGGGGGGGNNGGGGTATATGATACTATAAATTGGATAGATCACCCTCGTTTGCCCCACTTTCTCTGTCGCTCAGGTCTGCACTGTGCCATGTCCATGCTGCCAAAGCATTGGCCAGTGCATCCATGCCCGAACCATGAAAACGTACCAATCCATCCATTGGCGAGCGCATCCATGCCCAAACCATGATCACGTCCATGCTACCAACCCATCCATTGGCGAGTGCATCCATGCCCAAACCATGACAGCTTCCAAACGTCCATGCTAACAACCCATCCACTGGCCAGTGCATCCATGCCCAAACCATGACGACGACCATGCTACCAACCCATACAGTGCATCCATGCCCAAGCCATGGCAACGTCCATGCTAACAACCCATCCGCTGGCCAGTGCATCCATACCCAAACCATGACAACGACCATGCTACCAACCCATCCAGTGCATCCATGTCAAAACCATGACAACCTCCATGCTGCCAGCCCATCCATTGGCCAGTGCAACCATGCACAACCCTGATAACGTCCATGCTACCAACCCATCCATTGGCCAGTGCATCCATGCCCAAACCATGACAACTTCCATGCTACCAACCTATCCAGTGCATCCATGTCCAAACCAGACCCCAGAACAGCAATATAGGGGAGTCCCTCCAATGGTTAGATGTGGGGCCGAGGAATACAACGAGTATAAGGTCAAGCGCCTCTTGGATGCAACTTTTCGGGCTTGTCGGCCTCGGGGTTTCAATGTAAAAGACTCACTACCCTACTGTTACTCCGGGATCCTTAGTGAAATTCTGGGATAACATAGGGCTCCTTATGAAAATTATAGCCATCCAGATGTTACACAATGATAGCTTTAGCCCAGTCTACCTGTTAAGGCTCCTGGACAGGGTCTTCCGGAGGCCTGGGGCTGTTCTGGGTCCCAGCCCTACGCTCTGAAGCCCTTAGTTTGAGCCGTAATGAGCTTTATGGGAGCATAGGAGTGCCCTTGGACCCTTTGGGCCCTACGACGTAATATGCGAGTTGAAGGAGTTGTAGCTTCGAGCCAAGATTGCTTACGACTTATGAGGGTTTAGAGTCTGCTTTATGAGGGGGGGCATCTCACGTTTACGTGCAGTACAATCACTTTAGGCTACGCGTCAACTCTTGTTGTGTATTTGCTTCCGCAGCTTTGCCTGGATTCAGGACCAGTGTCAGCATCACAAACTCACAGCTGCTAGCTGCTTGAAATATGCGAGTTGAAGGAGTTGTAGCTTCGAGCCAAGATTGCTTACGACTTATAAGGGTTTAGAGTCTGCTTTATGAGGGTTTAGGACGCAAGGGGATCCGAATAGCATGGCCGCGAAGGGTTCGTATGCAATAAACTTGGCTGGCCATTGCGATAATATTAGCCTCAATGTAGTAGTCTTTTCATACCAGTACGAAAATCAAGCCTTCACTGTGTGCGAGTCCAGAGCTCATGACATGCTCCAGACGCTAAACCCCACTCCTTGAGCCCTTGCAGTAGCCTTAGACATTTATGAAACATACACCTGAAATGGACTTTAAACCCTAAGCCCTAAACCCTTGAATGCTCCGCCGGATGGAAAAAGGTGGACAAAAAAAGCCCTTGAATGACCCTAACTTCTAGCCAGTTTACCCGATACTTCATGGATGCAGAAATTCGCTGAACGCCAGCTTTTTCTGATTGGCAGTGCCGAAGGTCGACACACTACAGCCTGGACACAGTGTATATAAGATGTCCAGCGCAGGAGCTCCCAGCACTCAAGCGTATATGGTTTGCTGTTGAGCGGAAGATGCAGGATTTACAGGAAAGACCAGATGCATCGGGGACGAGTTGTTTTTTCCTGAAGTCCCAGCGCACTTCATAACAGCGGTCACGAGGTGGGAAGAAGATGACGAAACAAGCATTCTCACCTTGCACTTCCAGGCCACGCAAGGCGAGAAGCCATGCGTGTGCAATCCTCTAAAACGATGGGAGCCGAAACAATCTTTGAGCTGATGACCATTGACGACGGTGTGGTGCATGTATGATGTACATACACGCACACGCGCACACTTTTACAGCTCTGCAGGGTTTCGGGTTGAGGGGGGTTGAGGTTGAAGGTTTCGGAGACATTTGGAATGCGCGAAAAGACGCAAGCATGTTGTCCTTGCTCCTGCTGTTGATCCCCCTAGAACCCTATGTACATAGGCCCTGAACCCTGAAACCCAAGACCCCGACATGGTACCTATTATGTGTATATATATATATATTAGTTATCTATTTTCTTTTTTTGCCTATTTATTTGTATGTATTTATTTGTTCGTTCATGACATGTGAGCTGTATACTTACACTTCTTGTACTTGTACAGTAGCAGTGCAACCGCGCAGTTCCAGTTGCAATACTGATGTTTGTGCCAGTATAGTACCCTAAACCCTAAACCCTAAACCCTAAGCTAAATACCCCGAATTTCCGATCTCAGGGGGGAAGAACTTTCTGCAGCTCCTGGAGGATCCCGCTGACGTTGCAGCCGGGGCCCTTCTAATGACAACGGTCCTCTGTTTGGGCACCCCGGGCTTTCATCTCATATTTGGGTATATCAAACCAAAGAGGGGCTATAGCGACTATAGTGAAAGGGGGTCATTATGAATTCCTACAGGCCGCGGCAGTAGTTCTCTATTCTTCCTCTCCCCGAATGCCCCGGGTTTGGGACACAAGCCCCCTAAAAGATCACGTCCGCCCGTGACTGCCCAGAGCAACCGTGAGAGTCGAGACCTCGAACCCTAGGCCCGAAGACCCAACAGCGCTGAAGCCCAGCATCCTACAAGCGCTTCGGTCTGATGTTTCGGGTACTGTATTGTATACGGGTACTCTAAGGCCTTAAGGGTCTTATCAAGGTACCTATAGGGTCATACCCTACCACCCTCTTTTAGGGTACCTATTTTTTATATAGCACTTCCTAACCATAAAACTAGGTACGTTAAAAAAGGGGTAGGGTATGACCCTATAGGTACTACAATAAGGGCACTATTGTCGGACGTCCGGCCTGAGTCTGCGGATGGGTTGCAGAGCGTCGCAACCTCAACCTGTGCAAGCCACGAGTTGCCAGAAGGCTTCAAGAACGCATCCGTCCGCCATGCCAAGCCCGAAAAAAACCCATCATCCCAATGGTCTTTCGGAGCCTAGCTCTTCTGGAGCACTAAGTTATATAGGGGCCTTATAATAATTACATAGGGTTTAGGGGTATTTTTTGGACTATCATTATAAAAAGGAACCCCCCCAAAACCCTACTCTAATCCTTAAGGCTCCTTTTTTTATATGGTCTCGTCTGTGGACCCTGCAGGGTAGTTTTCGTAGCTGTGTGTTCGGAAGCGACCGGCTAGGTGCCCCCGCCATCGTAATCCATAGACTGTGCCTCATCCTCGAACCTGACTGAGCCGTAAGGCCGAGAGTGTAGGGCATCCCTAGGTCCTAGGTCCACCTTTGTTTCGCTGCGGCCTCAAAGTAGACTGAGAGGTAGAATGGTATGTTGCTGATCTGATGCTTTGATTTGCCATGTGGCGAACTACTACTGACCGGCATAACAAGCATGGCTCAAGTGGCCGCGATAACAACGACCCCAAGCCATAAGAATTCAGCCTAGAAGAGGCATCGAGCTAGAGCATGCAGGGCTTGCAGGTTTGGGCAGTTGGGGCTAATACGGGGAGTTGAAGAATAACAAGCAAGCATTGTTAAATTCCGGGGGTCACTGTTTAAGGTTCCCCTCTGGCTCAGGAGTGCACCATGCAGCCTCTCAGGAGGTATGGCGTGGATGCTGCAATCCTGTTGCTCGGCCTAGCGGTTCGTGAATTCACTCTTTGCTGGTGAAGGTCCTACCAGCGCATAGGTTTAGGGCTTGTTCCGTTTAGTTTTAGGGTTTAGGGCCACCGTCGTGCACTAGGTTGCGGGGCATAGGGCGTCCAAACACCTTGACTTGGATCCTGGGCGGGGCTAGTCTTGAACATAAGTGTCCAATGTTCACCTAGTCTTATCTCACGACGACGAATCACCGAAAATCGCGATGTCAGCGTCAAAATCTCGAGCTGACATAGTCTTAATTAAGAAGGAATCAATACATCAAAACATCGAAGGGGCGATAAAGAGCAGCTTCATGAATCCCTTAGCGATGACCCGAAAGGGGTAGGTCTTGAGAGGGCCAGCTTAAATCCTAGACCCCAAAACCCTTAAACCCTAAGCCCAGAATTCTGAAAACTCAAGCAGCCATTTTAAGCACCCCCTTGAAAGGAATCCAAGCAGCTATTCACAGCAACCCCTTAAAGGAACCCTGGTAAGCGATTCTTGGTTGAATTCCACTTTGATGCCAGGTTCTCGGACATCTTGGTCGTGGCACAAGCCCTGGGCATCGACGTGGAGACTTGGCGTTTGCTTCAGTCTTGCGGGCTGTTTTTGTTCAGGGGTTCACGGTTTCTTGCCCTAAACCCTGAACCCTAAGCCCTGGACTCTAAACCCTAATTCCTAAACCCTAAGCCCTAAAACCCTAAACCCTAAAAGGAAGTTGCAAAGTTGAAAAAAGGGACGTCTAGGAGGCTCTGAGTGGTCTCAGGGATTGGAGCTTGGGGTTGTCTTCATGGGTGGAAGAGGCAGGGTTGATTAAATATTGCATACCGTTCTAGTCCCGACTGCCGCAAATTCCCTGTTCGAACCATTCATGCTCCTATGTTTTATGATTTTTATTGGGCGGCTGACAGTCTAGCATTGAAGGAGCATGAAACGTCGGGTGTGTGGGTTGTTTGAACGGGCATAACTTAACCTGCATGTTTCCGCACTTTCCAGGCTTAGGGAAATATTGCTTGGACCTCCACGTCACGTTTGTAGCACTACCAGTATACTCTCTAGACCCTTGTCTCGTGAGCAACAAGACCCTAAACCCCCACCTAAAGTTTCTCTTGGCTCCCGACACCCCAAACCCCAAGCTTAAACCACTAAACGCCCTAAACCCTACTCTAACTTCCTAGTGGTTCGCGAAACTGCCTGCCCTGCAAAGGAAATGCCGGGAGGCAAAGGCCAGCCCTCGTTCGTGTTCCGTTGCGGGTTTGGGGTGCCAGGATGGCTTTACAGCTTTGGACTTAGGTTTGGGGTTCAGGGCTTAGTTTCTACTTGAATTTCAGCTTTCGCAGTCTTCACGGTATAGGTCGCTGTTGTACTTCAACGTGGGATCCTTTCTTGTTCTGTCAAGCATTTAGTTATCTTGCTCAGCTCTTTTTCTGAAAAAGCCCTACATGCCGCTATGCCATGGGCTGCGCTCATGTGAGAAGATGATAAGAAGACATTGTTGCCTACATCCGATAGCCCTAGCCATGTCTCTGTTCTCGCTCGGACCTAGGTCTCTGTTCTCCTTCGAATCGGGTTCAATGAGAGCCTGCCTGGCTGCCATATATATATATATATATATTTATGTATATGTATGTATGATTCTGATGTAAACCAAACACACATATGCATGCGTATGTACATATATATATATATATATGTATATATATATATACACACATGTACATCTCCAAATGCTTTTCTGCCACCTTACTCCTTCTTTGCCCCTCTCGTTGTATGTGGAGAAGTACACTCACGACTGAGCATCAAGCCATTCCTTAAGCATCCTTTTGAACAGTATGCAATCAGGACCCCCCTCTCTTCGCATGTGTCCGCATGCATCAATGCCAGCTTGGCGTGCTCAACACACAAGGGCTTCTTGGCCTGGAGTATCGCCGGTTGTAAGCTTGTCCATGGTCCTAAATCCGAAATTGTAAAACCTGTTTTGCATCTCCGTCAGCAACCGTACTCCTTCATGTCGGAGAGAATAAGAGGGCACTGAACCCCGAAAAGAGCGAAATCCTGAACCGTAAACCATGCACCTTAGATCCTATAAGCCTTAAAACCCGAAACCCTAAACCCCGATCCTTACACAATCAGCCTAAAACCCTTCCCCCAACCTCGAACCCCCGAAACCCCATCATTGAACCCTAAACCTTCAGCCCTTAACCCTCAACCTCAAACCCCAAAATGCTTTTCCAGTCCCGGCCAACGTTGCGCAGAGCGCGGTGGGTTGCGAACTGGTTGAAGGCACAAGGGCCAAACGCCGAAGCTCGACTTCCATCATGAAGCCAAGAAGCGGTGGATCGAAACCCGGCAAAGCGGACTCAAAGCCCAAGGGTGGTGGTAATTTCAGAGCGGCTGCCAAGACACCATTGGAGGGACTTGAAACAACGGCACGCCCTACAGGCCCATAGGGCTGTATATGCCGGATGGAGGCATAAGGTTTGAGAGAAATGACGATCTGGGAGGTCCTGACTGGCGATAGCGCTGCAGACCAACCAGACCTGAACAAGGCTGAGATCCCGAAACACCCCGGTCATGGCTTTGACATCGTTGCCACCAGACGAACTTTGATCGAGGTCGAGGAGACGGTGTTTGTCGGAGGCCGTAGCCCGACAAGCGCAAGTTGTGCACCAGAGGACCAACCGAGTGGTTCTTGTCCCTTCGCTTGGATGAAATTCACGGCGCAACAGCCAGAAGCTGGCAATGCGTGTTCAACTCTCCATCCGCAGCTATTCGCAGAGATGCCCCTTGCTGCGGAAATTCAACCCATTAGTCTAGGACATTTTCAGGTGGTATATACCTTGTAGAAGGCTTGCAGAAGCCCTATATACCCTAAGCTCCCCACCTGTAGTTTCCTTTAAAGTAGGCCGTTTCAGCAACATCGCACCCATGACAGGGTGGCCACGGGACAATGGCCTGGGACGAGACTGTGTCACAGTGTTCGCGTTGCTGTTGCTGTTCCCGATACTGTACAAGCCTAGATTACCAAGACTAGTTTCTGGGGTTCCTTTTATAACGACAGTATAATATAATTACCCCAAAACCCTATTTTATTAATTGAGGCCCTACATTACTTGCTTGGTTCCTGGCCAAGTCCGGTCGGAATCGTGCTGATCTGTTTTGGTGGTGTACCTTTGGGGGGCTTGAATAATTACCTATACATTTTGAGGAGCTCCTTAATGCAAACATGGCATAATGGGCCCCGAAGCCCTATTCTAATTATTAAGGCCCCCAAAAGTAAGGTGGTCTTAGGTTGTGTGTTGCCAGCATATGGTCCCGGTAGGAAGCTCGAGTTGAGACCTCTCGCCTGGATCCGTGCCAGCATTGCAAGCTTAGGGTTGAGGGTTTAGGGTNNTTAGAGTTTAGGGTTTAGGGCTCAAGCCCTAAACTCCTAAACGCCGGACCTACAGCCCTGAACTCCAAACCCTATGCCGATCCTCAGGCATCCTCGTTCCTCGGCCCTTGGAGTCACCCGAGGCCTCGAGAATTTGGCGGAGTCTTCGGAGCTTGGGAGGCGTAATGCTCAGAAATTCCTCGAAGATTCGTTGGGGGCTCTGGGCCTTGGTCGGATTCTTGAAGGCTTCTTTGAGGCTACGGCTTTAGGATTCTTGGGTGTTTTAGCTTCTGGCTTGTTTTTTTTAAAATTTTTTGCTATCCGAGCACCATGAAGTCGAGACCTGCAGCCTTGTCTCCACCTTAAGTGCTCTTCGGAAGTGTACTTTGTTTTGTAATAGCGCTGCATGGGTTTGTTGATTGAAAAATGTACTTATTGGAGCCAAGGGCTGGCGAACTACTTGAACGCTTCCTTGACATGCTACGTAGGGTAAGTAGATTTAGTAAGCTGGGTCGCGGAGGATATTCCACAGATGACAGCGAGACACCGAGTAGACTTCCTGAAGAAGTCCTTTTTATTGCATGGGCAACCTTTAAACCCTCCCCTAGGAGTACCCTGCAATGCGGGCTCGTCCTTGCTATGTAGGAGAGAAAAATAACCCTCTGCTAGGGCCCTAGAGATGGGATACTGGACAACTATAGGAATTGACAAAATCGGCAACCCCGGGGTCAAAAAACGCTGTCGGAAACGCAACCTTGCAGTTCAGAACTCGGGCCTGGTGCACTTCATGTTTTTTTGTGTGTGAGGGTTTCCGGCTTCTTTGGGGCTTAGGGCCTTATGCTTTAGGGTTTTAGGGTTCAGGGCTTGATGGTTTAAAGTTTAGGGCTTTAGGGTTTCCGGCCTTCGATTGCAGATTTTGGATTTGAGTTTCGGGGTGTGGGTTTCCTTCGTGCTGGTGGCCTGTTTAAAGGGTCTCGGCTCGTGCTTGAGCGTTACGGTTGTGAGGTTGCAGGAAGCCACCAAAGTCGGGAATCCTCAACCCTACCCGAAGCCCTAAGCCCTACCATAAACTACCCCCTAAACCCTCAGCGGTGCTCTACCAGAAATTCCCGGAAACTTGTCTTACATTATCTTCTGCCTTCGTCGATGAGTGTAAGCGTACATTCGTACAAGGACTGCCCTTTGCGTGAGGATGGATATAATTATGGGGCCCCAAAACCCTGCAGCCCCAAGCCCTAAATCCCAAAAACAAAACAACTAAACCTTAAAACACTAAGGCCCAAACCCTAAAAACAGGGAAGCACAAATCCTGAGCCCTCAAAACCCTTAACTTAAGCCTAAACTTGAGCAGGATCTATCACGACTGGCACCCAATCCAGCAACCGCCGAGTTCGTCGAAGATCGCCTGGTGGGAACCTCGAAGCCCTGAAACCGAAACCTTCAGCGTTTTGTGGGGGTTTAGGCTTTGGGTTTTTAGAGTTTAGGTCTTTTAATTTTGGGTGCAGGCTTGGGGGTTTAGAGCTTCGGGTTTTATAGTTTTGTTCTTTAGCTTTGGGTTTAAGGCTGCAAGGTTTAGGGTTTTGTGTTTGAAGGATTGAATTTTGGGTTTTGGGTTCAGGGTGCAGAGTTTAAAGTTTAGGCGTTATAGGGTCCAGGGTTTAAAGGGTTTAGGGTTCAGGATTTAGGCTTTAGGGTTCCTTCAACTTCCAACCTAAGGCTCATAGCGGGGGACGGAAGGTTGCGTTCCTTTCGGAAGGCAGGTTGGTGGCATAGGATGAGGGAGTTTCCGAAAATTAGGGGTACCTTATTTTGGGGGTCCTTATAATAAGAATCCTATTATTTAGGGTACTATATTAGGGTCCCCTATTTTCGGAAACCCCCATGAAGCATGCGCTAGCCTGAGTGTTCTCGAGCTTAGGCTGGACTGGAGCTTAACGTGTCCGGCTGGCGTACTGTTTAGGGTTACGGTTAGGGTTAATGGCTGGGAATAAATAAATGTCCATGAGCAGTCGCTGACTAAAATGAACCCCAAGAGCCTCTAATCTAATTATGAAGGGCTCAACATGTTTAAGTTAGTGGATACCATTTCCATTTTCTAACCATGCACCACCCCCTAGCACCCAAACCATAACAACCTATGCCTCAACCTTCAACCCACCCAAGACCCATAGGTAGAACCCTAGGAATAACTCACCTGAAGACCCAAAACCATACCAACCTATACCTCAATACCCACATGATGGAACCAATAGAAGAAACCATACACCACCTCATAGAAAAACCCCAACCTCAAACCTCATACACCAATACCCCGATAGAAAAGCCATATTCCCCAACCCGAAATCCCTAACCCTTGAAAATGGAAATGGTCTATTCTAATAATTTACCGATAGTAGGAAAAAGGTCTTGCAACCAGCTGGCGACGGCAATGAAGCCAACGAGTAATAGCTATGAATCACGCTAGTGGTGACTACTGCTTTTATCAGTAGTGCTGCTACT